AGTAGTTAATTTGACTACAGGAGAGAAGATCTCGGTGTAGTCAATCCTTTCCTTCTGCTGAAAGCCTTTTACTACTAACCGTGCTTTGTATCTCTTCTTATCATCATGATCTTCCTTAACCCTGTACACCCACTTATTTTGCAATGTTTTCTTTCCTTTTGGTAACTCTGTAAGTATCCATATTTTATTCTTTTGAAGAGAATTCATTCCTTTTTTCTTGGCTAGCTTCCACTTATCAGAGTTTATCACCTGCATTGCTTCAACAAAATGCTCTAGTTCTCCAGCATCATTCAGAAGTAAATAGTGGAGACAGAGAGAGAGAGAGAGAGAGAGAGAGAGAGAGAGAGAGAGAGAGAGAGAGAGAGAGAGAGAGAAAGAGAGTTAACCTATCTGGAGCATTCGTGACTCTTTTAGATTTCCTTAATATAGTTTCAGGATTAACTGATCCCGAATTTGATTCAAGTCCTGACTCCAGATCTGGTTATCCATCTGATTCTATCTCTGGTTCTGGTTCTGATTCTGATCCAGATTCAGCTTCTGGTTCGGCATCTTCAATTTCAAATCCACTTGTAGTCTCTCTAGCCACTTCATTTTCTGAGATTTCTTCTAACTCAACTGTTTCAGATGTCTGTCTGCTGGTGCTGGTTGGTTCTACTTCAGTCTTGTCCTTGTACATCACATTTTCATTCAATGTGACATTCCTGTGTCTTAGGATCTTTTTATTCTAATCATCCCAAAATCGATAACCAAAATTATAATCACCATAGCCAATCAAGAAATATTTCTTGGCTTTAGGATCAAGCTTATATCTATCATTAATGTTTACATCCACATAAGCAACACAACCAAAAAATTTTAGATATGAGAGAGTTATCTCCTTTCCTGTCCATACCTCCTCAGGAATTTTAAAATTCAGTGGTACAAAGGGTCCCCTGTTTATGAGGTAAGTTTTCGTGTTAACAGCCTCAACCCAAAAATACTTCGGTAACCCAGAATGTATTCTCATACTTCTGGCTCATTCATTCATGGTTCTGTTCATCCTCTCAGCAACGCCATTTTGTTCCGGTGTTCCAGGAACTGTCTTGATCATTCTGATCCCATTCTCAGAATAGAATGCTTTAAACTCTTGACTATCATACTCTCCTCCATTGTCAAACTTTAGACATTTTAACTTTAGGCTTGTCTAATTTTCAACTTCAGCTTTCCATCTTTTAAAAGTAACAAACACATAAGATTTATTTTTCAGAAAATAAACCCATACCTTTCCCGTGGAATCATCAATGAAGTTGACATAATAGCGTGAGCCTCCTAGAGAAGTTACAGGAGCTGGTCCCCACACATCCGTATGCACTAGTTCCAGCTTCTCTTTCTTTGGCGTCCTTCCTACCTTTGAGAAACTAACTCTCTTTTGTTTCCCGTAAATGCAATCTTCGCACAAACCTAATTCAATATGCTTTAGGTTTGACAACTTTTCTTTGGATGCCAATAGCTTCATTCCCTTCTCACTCATATGCCCAAGCCTCTAGTGCCACAATGTTGTGTCACGACCATGGTCAACTACTGCTATAGTATCTCTCTGCATTGCGGTTGCATACACTGTTCTCTTCTTGAAAGCTCGTGCCACAACCAAATTTCCTTTAGTTATCTTCTATGATCCATTACCGAATACTGTTGTGTATCCTTTACTATCAATCTGACCCATAGATATTAGATTTTTCTTGAGGCCAGGAACATGTCGGACATTTTTGTAATTTTCGTAGCATCCTTTGTGAAGTCTTTATATGAACTTCACCTTTTCCGAAAATATCCAAAGGTTCGTCGTCTACTAGATAAACCTTTCCGAATTTTCCAACAATATAATTATGCAATAATTTTTTGCATGAGATAGAGTGAAATGATGCACCTGAGTCCAGAATCTAAGATTCGACTGGACTGTCTGTACAACAAATTAGTGCATCGCCAACTTATTCAGCAATTGCATTTGCTGAATTATCATCCTTGTATTGGTCGTTCTTCTTCTTCTTTGGCTCTCTACATTGACTACTGTAGAGATCCTTTTTATCGCAATTCCAACAAGTAATGTCCTTGCGATTTTTGGATTGCCCTCTTCTCCTTGACTTTGATCTGCCACGATCATGACTTTGTCCTTTTTGACTGCTTCTCCCCCTGCTTTCGGTATTAAAAGCAGATCCCGGGGAATCACTTGATTCTCTCCGACGAATATCTTTGCTTAGAACCAAGTCTCTAATATCATCAAATTTGAGTTTGGTACTTCCCGATGAACTGCTAACTATAGTTACTGTTGCAGACCAACTCTCCGGTAGAGATGATAGTAGAATCAACGCCCTGACTTCGTCATCGAATATTATATTAACAGAATTCAACTAAGTTAATATTACATTAAACTCATTGATATATTCCGTAACAGATCCACCTTCTGTCATCTTTACGTTGAATAATCGCCGCATCAAATAGACTTTATTTGAAGCAGATGGCTTCTCGTACATATTTGATAACGCCTTCATCAGGCCTGAAGTGGTCTTCTCGTTATGATATTAAACGTCACATTTTGTGGTAACGTCAAACGGATCACACCAAGAGCTTGGCGATCTAATAGATCCCAATCCGCTTTGGCCATATTCTCTAGTTTTACCCCGGTCAGAGGTAAGTGTAATTTTTTCTGGTAGAAATAATCCTCTATTTGCATTTTTCAGAATCCAAAATATTTGCCATTGAACTTGTCTATCTTCACTTTTCCTTCTTCCGACATCATTTTGCACACAAAAAAAGAAAAAGAAAAATGTGAATAGTGCCTTACTATTTGTAAATAGTATTTACTATTAGTAAATAGTACTTCACTATTTATGAATAGTACTTTACTATTGTGAATAGTGACTAATAGTCTTGCATCATGGATATTTTTCTAACTTACGAATTTGAATAAAAGAGGTAATCCATTATTGATTGTGGAGTATATATCAAGATAGCATATGCATGTTCTTTTAACAAATCCAGAAAAAAGAAAGAAAGAAGAAAGAGAGTAACAAAGTAAGGAACATAAACTAAATTCAAAATTCTGAAACATTTGGAGCATAAAATAATTGAAGCAACTAGTGGAAGATCCATTGGCTTAAAATAACACTGAAGCAAATACTGGAAAAGAAATACATCGTATGATTTATACCGATCCAATAAATACATATTATATATTTTTTAAACATTTTTGCATTTAATTATAATTAATACAAATTCTAGTCTAAAATCACTTGATTATGATAAACTAATATAATATTGCGTAAATATGAGTGTGATTAAATTCTTTTCCTTTTTCCATCCTTTGGCGGCTTTGCCACATAAAAAAACATGGCGACAATGTTAAGTGAGAAAATAGTTACGAATAGCTATAATTGATCAAATCTTCATAATATGCATGATTTTATAAAACTCAACGTAATGGAGTGAATATTAAGTCAAATTATAAAGTGGAAAAAAAAGCTTTGAGTTAATGGAGTGAATTTTAAGTCAAATTGTATTTCAACTAACTAAAACTTGATGAAATTGGGGAATTTAAAATTAATATAAGAACTTCAGTCACAAACGATCATCTTTTACAATATTTATTATTCCATCCTATTTAATTACACGTCATAGTACTATTTGGATAAAGAGTTCAAATGTTATTCTGTTATTTCAACTTTGATCAAAATCACTTAAAATTCTTCATTTCTTTTTCTTTTTAAAGTCGATATCATAATAACGGATACTCTTATAATATTTGGTTAAAAAACATGGAAGCAAACACGTCAAGTCGAAAGGCTAAACTCCTTACGAGCCTCAATATATATATATATGTTTAATTTACTCTCATGTCCTTTATACATGTCCCATAATACCCAAAAGATTATTTTGAAATAAAATCTCACTCGCAATTACTGATCGATTGAATTCGTTATTAATTTTTGGCGTTTAAAAAAACCAGTAATTTATTTCGTATTTTTCATATTTATCTATTAGTTCAAATTAGTGGAGTAAAAATAATTAAATAATATTCTAATTTAATAATTTTGTGATTAAAACTACTTTAAAATATTTCCTTTAAGAGGTGTACTAAACTGTTAAAAAAATAAGTAGATAAATTGGATCTGAGCTGGTAATAATTACGTAAGTACTACTACATTTGTGAAACTAAATTTTCTGCAAATCTGACTGCAGTCCTTGTTTTTACGCAAGCGGACAAATTTAAAGGAGTAATTATTTTTCTTTCAAAAAATAGTAACTGCGCCTTTCAAAACTTACTCTTTGGATGAGACAAAGGCACAAATCGCGTAAAAATAATTACTGCTGTCTGCTGAGGTGAAATTTAAATTTACACTCCAGCCTATACTATGTTGCTGATTTGGCAAAAGTACCTCTCTCTTTCTGACATGTCATGTGTTCATTGGTTGATTTTTACTACGTGGCGTTTTGTTTTCGTCATAAATACGGCAAATCTTCCCGTCCTTATCAAGTCCAAGTACAGTCAGTTTTCAGCTCAACCAAATCACAAAAGCCTATTTGGCATTTAAAGTAATTTAACCGAAATGGAGATGTATTTTATTCCTTTACTGCCCTTACCCGAACAACTACTATGATATTTAAAGCAATTTTACAAAAGAAATGGGGGTGCAATTTTACCTTTCTCATTAGTACCTAAAAATAACGCGGGAAAAAATTTATTCACCTAAGTTGTTGCAATATAATCAGAAGATTACAAATTAACAGTAAAAACAGGTTCTTGCAGAAATGCAACAGACTCTTGTGACAGCAGAAACAAATTATATTTTCTCAATCACCATGAAATTTTTAGTGATTTTTTTAACAAAATGGAGGTGTATTAATTTTGGACCTTTACTGCCAATAACGGCCAAACTACCATGGCAATGAAGGTAATTTTACTAAATAAGGAGGTGTATTTTACACCCCAGTTCCCCTCTTTTACCCCCTACCCCAATTCGGATATAAACATCACACATACATCACGATACTTATGTATATTCATTCTCTCTGATCGGATCCGCCGTCAGCCTCCGGTTACTGCCTCTGCACTCTCGCTCAGTATACAATTAGAATTTTTCTCATTAAAAAAATCGGAATTTTCATGATTTTGTAAGCAATTTTCTATAAGATCGATAAACTTCTCTTCCCTTTCTCCGCTTCCGGTCGATCCATTCAGCTTGATCATTCAGGTATCGTAATTTTCTGTGCTTTTGCATGCGCTTATCAATTGAATTGAGCTGCTTTTATTTTTAACCTTTTTTTTTTTGTAATTATAGTGATCCATGCATTTGTAGATCTCCGTATTATTATGTGCGTTTTATTGTTTAGTAATTAGTATACATGCATTTGTTGGTTTTCTTGCATAACTGTAGATTTGAAGATTCCATGGAATCTCACTTTGTGTGTGTGTGTGTGTGCGCGCGCTTGTATTTGTGCTGTATTGGAATCTATCCAGACTGGCAATTACTTTTTCCAGTCCGGCAATCAGAGACAATCCAGGATTTGAAGGCGTCAGATGCCACATTGCTTTTGATGTACACGTCACATTGTTATAGAGTATGAGTAGAGCGTGTATTGGTTAGGTCTGATTCGATGATTCAGTTTAAATCCATATTTTCCTTCACACAGTTATCAATTTTAAGTTTCATAATGCATAGTCAAGGCATACATAAAACTCAATAATTGTTCAATTCAGAAATCCAAGCCTCAAGCTGAAATTGTTGTTTGTTGCAAAATAAAGCGTGCGCCTTACCACTAAATTAATGAAGTTTACTAGACACAATTATGTAGTTTAGAAAATTTTACCATAAATTAAACATAATCAACAAACTAAAAGAAGTGTATACATATTTTTAGCTTAACTTAAGTGCTGGATTCAATCGACAATATCTTGAACAATTAATTGAAAAGCAGCAGAATGAGGACATAATATTCGCATAACTAGTGCCCTATCTTAATTTTAAAATGCCATCTATGCAAATGATTATGATTCTATGAATAAAAAGAAGATCAAATTCAAGCAAAATAAATTATATCATGTATATGTAGAATAGGAAAACCAAAAATTCTAACGGATAAAACTGAGAGAATTGACGCATAAATCATTCTCATCAAAATTTAAACATCAAAAAGTTCTACAACGAATTAACACCATTTATAATCTCAAATTTTCTAAATTCAAATCTAATAAACAAAAGAAATAGACATTTAAGTTTATTCTCAGTTTAGAGTTCCGAAAGAGAATCGAAGCTTTGCGAACTTGGAAGAGAAAGCTCGGATTTGGTTAAGCGATAGTGCTTCGATTTAAGGATTTAAAATGTTTCGAGTTTTATTTTTGTCTATTATTGTCAACGGAAAAAAGAAGAATAAAGAAAAAAAGAAAGGAAAAAACAAAGCACAACAAAGGCAAAGAAAAAGGAAAATTGGAGAAAAGGAAAGAAAAAGATTAAGACCCGACAAATAAAATAGCTAAAAAAGGGTTGCCCGATGCACGACGTCCAGTGTTGATGCAGTGGGTCCAGGGAAGTGCACCATCCCAATGTAGTGTGATGTAGGCAGCCTACCGACACAAGCGGCAATGGCTAATTCCAAGGCTCGAACCCATGACCTATAAGTCACGTAGAGACAACTTTACCGTTGCTCCACGACTCTCCTTCAGAGAGAGAATAGCAAAGATAAAGAAAAAAAAATTGAGAGAAAACAAAGGAAGAGCTGAAGCCCGGGCAAAGAAAGAATACACAGTAGATGCCAGAAGGAGGCGTACGGCGGTCATTAGCCACATTTTTGCAACATGGGCACTCCTATATCTATTGTGAATGAGGGTATGTCAAGTAGTCTATATAGCCACTTTTTAATGAAATGTAACCATAAATATACACAGTTCTTTCAGATCATAGGGGTGCTAGTGTACCTCACTCCTAAACATAGGTCAGTTTTCGCCCCTCCCGGCAATTACAGCAAGAAAGTATGCTCATGTTTGCATGTAGTGTGCTATGCATTCCTATTTTCTGAATATGTTTATCTGTGTTTCCCTAAGATTTTGTTTAATGTGAATATTTTGCATTTATCTGCAAATTCTTAATGAGTATTGTCTGCTTTTACAATGTCTTGGGCTTGGGATATGCATTAATCGCTACTACTAAGTGCCTCTTTAAGTCCTTTTTTTTGGGTTATTTGTCTATTTACTAATTGCGAACATATTTTGCTTGAGGATTTTTTGCGGAGATCTATAACTAAATATCTTTTTTCTTATTTCCTCTATCCCACTTTTCTACCAATTTTCAGTATTTACTCGGTATTCCTCCTGCAAAGGTTTGAGCTTTTTGTGCCAAAAGGAAAAGATGTTTCTTTGAATGTGTAACGCCCATTTCAGCATTTTCTTTGCAAAAGCACACATGATTTTTACTTGTTTTGTGAGTGCATGTATGTTGAAGAGGAAAAGGCTTTTTTTGGTTTCAACTTTCAACATTATGATTTCCAACAATTTTGACTTAATAACAAAAACAAAAAAGAGAAAGAAAAAGAAAAAGATTTTATGTACTCACAGTTATGCTTCAACAGTATGATTTCCAACAATTTTGACTTAATAACAAAAACAAAAAAGAGAAAGAAAAAGAAAAAGATTTTATGTACTCACAGTTATGCTTCATCACATGAGTGTTGCTGCAGGCGTGTAGCAGTTGTAATGGCAGCTCCAGCTGAAACCATAAGATGGTTGAAGGGAAGAGTGAAAGCCATTCCCTCTGGAGACACTTTGGTGATAATGGGGAGCTCCAAGGCTGAAATTCCCCCTGAAAAAACAATAAATTTAGCGCATCTAAGTGCTCCACGATTGGTATTACATTCTTCATTCTTTGTTGTACCATATCTTCATTGTAATACTTATTTCTATCACTCTTTTCTGCTTTCATTGCTCATTCTGTATTCTCAATTGTAGGCCCGTCGTGGTGGGGTGGATGAGCCATTTGCATGGGAGAGCAAAGAGTTTTTAAGGAAGCTTTGTATTGGAAAGGTGTTTTTCAGTTAATATACTAGCTTTAATTTCTTTTATTTTCTTTTTTCATAAGACTAATTACATTTGGTTCCATATGCAGGAAGTCACATTCAGAGTGGAGTACACTGTGCCAGCTATAGGGCGAGAATTTGGCTCTGTTTTTCTCGGTGACAAGAATGTTGCCATGCTGGTTGTTGCTGCAGGCTGGGCCAAGGTTGCATTGCCTTTTATTTTCGTTTCTAATGTATCTTCTTTATATTAGAATCTAAAGCTCATGCACGAACTAATTTCGGTGGATTCAGATTAGGGATGGTCAACAGAAAGGTGAAGTTAGCTCGAGTTTACAAGTCCTGCTTGATCTTGAAGACCAAGCAAAGCAACAAGGTCTAGGCCGTTGGAGCAGGGTCTGTTCGTTTTATATTCTCATTCTCTTTGAATTCTGTTAAACCATTGGACAAATGCTGCTACCTTCACAAAGTTTCTGGCAAAACTTTATTTTTTCTTTGGAGGAGGGGGATGGGGTGTGATGTGGCTGAGCACTGGAGGTTGTCCTTTACTTCTTTCTTGGTGGACAACACGTATAATACGCCTTTTTTCTTTGATAAGTCTTGTGTCTCTTTTGCTTTTCTAGTCAGGCAGATGTGTTTTTAGGCTTTCTTTTTCATGATGAGATTTGGAGTATGTAGAATGGCTTCCATTTTGTGGTCTGTTTCTGTCTGCACTTTAAATTTGGCAACATGTAAGCTCTGTACAGTATCAGTAACTCACTCTAATCCACCGTATACTGAGCTTTGGTGTTAGCTTTTGAGGATCTTTGATGAAATAGTGGGGTCTTCCCCTCCGGAATATATTTGTTTTATATGTTCTGACTTGTTATTGTTGCTAAGTAGAATATGCCACCATGAAAGCAAGTTTTTAGTGACCGTCTTGAGTCTTGACCCGCATAAGTTGTAACCTTGTGGGTGAACACCACTTGTGCTCCTGTCATTCTGGCTGATACTGGCTGGTGAATCTCTGCCATAGCTTGTTTGTGATTTCATTTTGTTTCTCATATTATGAATTCATGGAGCTTGGTATGAGTTATTGATTTGCTTCTCTCTAGGTATACTTCATTTTATCTTTTTCCGTTGAATCGCATTCTTATGTTAAGTCCACCTAGATACCATTTTCTTGTATATTTAAATCTGGCTCACTGCTGGTTTCAGGCACCTGGTGCTTCTGAGGCATCGATCAGGAATCTTCCTCCCTCTGCCATGGGTGATCCTAGTAACTTAGATGCGATGGGTCTTTTGGCTTCAAATAAAGGTAAGCCTATGGAAGCAATTGTGGAGCAGGTTCGTGATGGAAGTACACTACGAGTATACTTGCTTCCAGACTTTCAATTCGTCCAAGTTTTCGTTGCGGGAATACAGGTTGATACAGCAGAAATTTATGTTTTCCTTTGATGAGGTTTATCATCCATTTAGCTCTTCGGTTTACTTTTTACTTCTGTGAATAGGCACCAACAATGGGAAGAAGAGTTGCAGCAGAAACTGTTGTTAACAATGATATTACCTCTGATGAACCAAATGGAGAATCATCAAGTGAACCCCGTGCACTGACATCAGCTCAGAGACTTGCAGCTTCAAAAGCATCTATAGCAGAAGTTGCCCCTGATCCATATGGCAGAGAAGCAAAGCATTTTACTGAAACCCGCGTATTAAGCAGAGATGTGAGATTCAAGTTATTACCGTTAAATTTTGGCTTGTGTATTCAAGGTTGCTCTCTTCTAAGACGGTTTAACTTACAGGTCCGAATTGTCCTTGAGGGTGTTGACAAATATAGCAATCTGATTGGCTCAGTGTATTATCCTGATGGAGAATCAGCAAAGGACCTGGGATTGGAGCTTGTTGAAAATGTATGTTATAAACATTATTGCACTTACTATGTCATAGACTCAGAGTACAAGAGTTTTTATTTTTTATTTTTTTGTGCGCGTGTGTATATGTGCGCATACTAATATTGGGCACTATCTTCTTTTTACCATGATGATTCAACAGCCTTTTTTTCTCCTGCAGTGGTGCTGTTATTTTTCTTCTGATACATTTGCTTTTACCTGTTCTTCTACGCGGAAATACAAGCTTTTAGCGAGTTTCTGTAAATGGCTTTTTTTCTTTTTTTTCACCAGTTGGTATTCAACTCTTCTCCAAGGAATGGGAGAATTTTATAGCTCAGGTGTCCTTGTCTTGTTGGTTCTCCATTTGATGATATTTTGATTGATTTTATATGCTCAAGAGGAGATTTGGGTATCTTATATTTATTGCTTAGACGCATATCCCTAGTTTTCTGTTGGTTCTATAACAGTAAGAGTGATGATTTCTACGTAATTATGACTTGGTGTTCATCATATATAGTCTCCTTTCTGTATTTTGATCAATTTTGTCTTTCAGTATTAACATTTTTAGATAGGTAGTTATTCCACATCTACCTTTTGATCAGATAAGTTTGCATTAGTTTGAAGTATGTGCCATATTTTGACGCATATTCTTTCTGAAATTGGAAACTTTTATCTTGCAATGCATGAGCATTAGGAATGAACTCTTAAAACAATGGTGAAGTGTCAATCACCATTCTTCTAATATCTTGGTTTCTTCCTGGCACTGACGAAGAGATTTTCATGCAATGATATGTGTTAACTGTTTCTTTCTTATTGTCATGTGAATCTCTTTGCACAAGGTATTGTACAGACTTGGTTTTGTTGAGAAAAGAAAAAAAGACTTGGTTCGAGTCATTTATGCTGTTTCACTTCCTTAACTAATATTGATTGTCTACTAGTAGTTCTCTAGGAGAGAAAAAAGATAAAATTTTGTGGCTCTAGAACTTATAAGGCACTCTCAAAATTAAAGTTGACACCTTGCTCGTCTCTCATCAAAGGGTTTTGCTAAATATGTTGAATGGAGTGCAAACATGCTTGAGGATGATGCCAAGAGGCGTTTGAAAAATGCAGAGCTGCAGGCTAAGAAGACTCGCTTGAGGATCTGGACAAACTATGTACCCCCAGCAACAAATTCCAAGGCTATTCATGACCAGAATTTTTCAGGAAAGGTAGATATTATCAGATGGTCATGTAAATGGTCATTTATCTTTCTACTTTTGAAGGTCATATGTATCTGCTTGGCTTTCTGTAGGTGGTTGAGGTTGTAAGCGGTGATTGCATTATTGTAGCTGATGATTCTGTGTCATTTGGAGATCCATCAGCTGAGCGAAGAGTCAATCTTTCAAGTATTAGAACACCTAAATTGGGGAATCCTCGTCGAGATGAAAAACCTGCTCCCTATGCTCGTGAAGCAAAGGAATTTTTAAGAAATCGCCTTATTGGAAGACAGGTATGGCTTTATTTTTTAATATCTCTTTCCTATTCTCCTAGGATAGAATCAGAATGGGGAGGATTTACTTATCTTAGCTCCTTTTAGGTGCATGTTTCAATGGAGTACTCCCGGAAGGTCAGCATGGCAGATGGACCTGTTCCCTCTGCTAGTGCAGATTCAAGGATCATGGATTTTGGTACTGTTTTCCTTGCGTCCAAGGATGGGGAGGATGTGTCACCTGCTCCATCTGCTGCAGGCAGTCAGCAGGCTGGTGTGAATGTTGCTGAGCTTTTGGTTGGCCGTGGCTTTGCAACGGTAGTTAGACATCGTGACTTCGAAGAACGATCAAACTATTATGATGCCCTTCTGGCTGCTGAATCGCGTGCTATTTCTGGGAAAAAGGGTATGCATTCGCCCAAGGAGCCTCCAGTGATGCACGTAACAGACCTACTAACGGTTAGTATCCTTGTCATATGATCTGGTTCTCTCTTTATGCAGTGACCATGGTAAACATCTAATATTTCTTTTTAATGTCCTTCAGGCCTCTGCAAAGAAATCCAAGGATTTCTTGCCTTTCCTGCAGCGCAACAGAAGGATGCCTGCTGTTGTGGAGTACGTCCTAAGTGGTCATCGATATAAGCTGTTCATTCCCAAGGAGACTTGCAGTATTGCTTTCTCCTTGTCAGGCGTGAGATGCCCTGGTCGAGATGAGCCTTACTCCAATGAAGCTATTGCTTTAATGAGGCGAAAAATAATGCAAAGGGACGTTGAGGTAATTTTTCCTCGTAGATTTATAAAGTTAAGGATCCCGCATTGGTGAGGGTATGTGCTGTGTTTCCTTATATGCTCTTGGGTAATTCTCACTTCATGAGCTAGCTTTCAGGGATCAGTTAGGCCTAAGGTCCTCTTTCTTAACTTGGTATCAAAACCAAGCCCATCCCTGTTTAGTTTACCCTATGTTATACCTCCATGTTATGTTATCCATGCTCCAAATATCTAGTTCTCGGTGTTTTTTCTTGGGGGGTGAGGGGTGGGGGATATTAGTATCCCATATTGGTTGAGAGTATGAGTTGTTCTCCTTGTGTGATCTTGACAATCGTTACCTCATGAGCTAAATTTTGGAGTTGAGTTAGGCCTGGGGTCCATTTTCTTATCATATAACTAGTTGCCTTTAAATTTTCTCTTGTTTCGCGTTTCCTACATTTTCTTCGCTCAGATTGAGGTAGAAACAGTTGATAGAACTGGGACTTTCTTGGGCACATTATGGGAGTCGAGATCCAATGTGGCAGTGATACTATTAGAAGCTGGATTGGCTAGAATGCAAACTTCCTTTGGTGCTGATAGATTGCAGGATGCTCACCTCCTCATGCAAGCTGAACAGGCTGCCAAAAGGCAGAAACTGAAGGTAAGTGACTTAGACGGTATATATCACACTTATTAGTCCCACATTCTTGTAATATTAACTTGCAGAAGTGCAGATATGGGAGAATTATGTCGAGGGAGAGGTCGTTTCAAATGGCGCTGTTGCTGAAAGACGTCAAAAAGAAGAGGTGAAGGTAATGTAGTTACATATGGTGCTTCTCAATTATTTGGACATAAGTTACTGCTGTTGAGTTGAAGGTGTATGCAGTTTGTGTTTTGATTACATGGCCTTCCGTAATGTTATTCATTTATATTCTCAGGTCACGGTCACTGAAGTTTCGGGAGGGGGAAAATTTTATGTTCAGTCGGTCACAGACCAGAAAGTCGCCACCCTTCAGAGGCAGCTTGCTTCTCTCAACCTTCAGGAAGCTCCTGTAATTGGTTCCTTCAATCCAAAGAAAGGAGATCTTGTTCTTGCTCAATTCAGTGCAGATAATTCATGGAACCGAGCAATGGTGAAATTCCAACCATCCTCTTTCTTGTATTATATTTTGATACATGTAGTTTTCCAACGTGAAGGTTCGTAGGTCAGTGATCTCTTTTTGTTATGCTTTGATTTGAATAGGTAGCAGCTGTTCACTCGTAGGACCTAGCTTTGCATATTCTAACATGTCTATAGAAAGCAATATTATGGCGTAGGAAAGCTCCAAATACTATAGCAGAGACATCTATTGCATGTTATATCGTAGTGGTGTCAAGTTTGAGAGCATGCCCGGTGGAGAGAGAGAGAGAGAGAGAGACATATATCATATATGTATATTTTAGTATATATATATACACATATTCATGATGGTTGGGTTATTTCTCTCTGTTGGTTTGGAAATATCACTTTATTTCTCTGAGTTACAGAGGTGATTTCATGTTTTATTCTTCTTGCTTGTCATACTTATACCTCTTGCTTGTCATTCTTTATTCCTCTTTCTAATTTTGTACTTTAAAATATGGGTAGATTGTAAATGCTCCTCGAGGTGCTGTACAGTCTTCTCAAGACAGGTTTGAAGTTTTCTACATCGACTACGGAAACCAAGAAGTGGTTCCTTACAGTCAGTTGCGACCCCTTGATGCTTCTGTGTCCTCTACTCCTGGTCTTGCTCAGCTGTGCAGTCTTGCATATCTTAAAGTTCCTGGCCTGGAAGATGATTATGGCCAAGAGGTTGCTTATCGTCTAAGCGAGCTTGTATTAAGTGCCCCTAAAGAATTTAAGGCCATAATAGAGGAAAGAGACACTTCAGGTGGAAAAGTTAAAGGTCAAGGAACCGGGACAATCTTTTTGGTGACTTTGGTTGATCCAGAAACTGATGTCAGTGTAAATGCTACTTTGTTAAAGGTTTGAAATACTTAACCCTCCTCTTCCTTGGAAATTATTGAATGTTTGCGCCCCCCCCCTCCCCCCCCCAAACCCCAAAAAGAACCCCACTCAAGCACCAACTCACAAAAAATTAAAGTTACCCGAGCTCCAACTCACAAAAAATTAAGTTTCATTTGGTAGAACCATATTATTGTGAAGGATGACTGATTTGAGTTTCAAAGAATATTATTTCTTTTTTTTTCCTTACGATGGTAGTGTTCGGGCTAGCTTGCGCGCACCTCGGCTATCCTCCAGGCACCCGTTACCTCCCACCAAAACAGGTACGGGGTAACTCTGGCCACTAAGGCATAGGCAGATGGGAAGAAATTATGTAGTATTTTTTGCCTCCACTAGGATTTGAACCTAAGACCTCGTGATGTCCTCCCACTTCATTGATCACTATGCTACACCCATGGGTGCCTCAAAGAGTTTTGTTGCTGAGACTTGTTATGAAGTATGTCACGTGCATTCAATGTTTGACTACCATTCCTGTGATAATAATTGATGTAAACTAGGAGATCTATCAATAGAAACATATGGTCCTCATTTCAATCACTTTCTTTGGCCCTCTAAATAGTCTGTGTTTGTCTGGGGTTACAGCATGGAGTACTTGTTTACTGACAATGAGCTGTTCAAATATCAGGAAGGACTTGCTAGGTTGGAGAAAAGGAGGAGATTTGAGCCAAAGGATAGACAACTGGCTATGGATGAATTGGAAAAATACCAAAAAGAAGCAAAAGATAAAAGACTTGGAATGTGGGAATACGGAGATGTTGAGTCAGATGATGAGGATTCTGCTCCCTCTGCTAGAAAAGCCGCTGGGAAACGGTGAACGGAACTTTCTTGTACTAATTTAGATGAGCTCTTTCTGCCAGGAAAAGTCTACAAACTGCAGACAAGATAATTGCTGTTTACAAAAATAGAGAGGTGGAAAGTTCGGCTTAGCTTTAATGTGTTATTAATACACTTGTAACTTTTAGAAACTGACTTTTGGGAGGTCAGACAATTTTTATTTTCCTTTTATTAATTTTTTAAATTTATACTGACTTGTAATAAAGTTTCCTCCCGTTGTCTGTCATGCCTTAGTGGGTGTGACGATTTTGTGTGACAATATCTGTATGTTGAAGGCAAGGAATATTTTTCCAGCAACTAGTGTGATAATTCAGTTATTCTTGTTCTAATTTCTGATGAATTTTCAATGCTTGTATGTCTTGGTTGTCTTCTAGGTTTGCGGATTTATCAATGACCAAAAACAATGGCTTCAACTATATTGAACTGATCTATTGTGAAAATATCCTTCAGTCACTCCTTTAAATACTGAAATTGCAAGCTGAGAAAAGGTTTACGTAGTAGTGTGCTGCCCTCCAAGGTTCTATGGGTTCGAACTTATTAGCGCCAGAAACTATTTAGGTACCGTAGTCGAAGACGTGTATAAAATTTGTATATTTTTGTATATATAAAAAATATTTTTTTTTGACTATTATTTTAAGAGTGGCTATATAGCTACGCTGGATTCGCTCTTGCGGCCCTCCCACCACCACCCTCCTTAAAATTATCAAAGAAACAAAGCGTAGGGTGGTCTGAACTTGGCTTTTATGGACCATGACCACAGAGAAAGAGAAGGGAAAATAAATTAAGATTTTGGTTATATAAAAATATACTTCGACATAATCAACTAAAGTTTTAGCTTTGCCCTAAAGACCTTTCATCAAGTACAAGTGGACGTTCTTAATAGTGTGGAACGAGTTAAGAGAGCAACTGCTGACACTAGTATTGAGGGTTACGAGAGGCGTTGTATTTGCTCTAGAATATTCTCATAACCCTCATAATTTAAGACAAACTAAAACTTAACCAAGCTGTTAGATTTGCATCTTTGTTACTGTTCCCACTGACACATCATAATTCATAACCCAATTAGTTTGCTTATACCTGATTTATTTCACCACCTCCACCATCTTCCAAATCAACTTTATATACATAT